GGCCAAGACCGGACTCATTCTGCCTGCAGCATTCAGTGCACCTTCCAGGGAACTGAGTTCAGCTAGGAGTTGCTAGATGGAGCCAGCAGCTTCTCTGAGTTTTGATTCATTGGACTCCTCTCCAAGATGGCTTCTGACCAATCACGTTCTTCTGCAGGATGACGAAGTCCTCTGCACTCATTCCTCTACACTCATCACCAACTAGAACAATCCTTATTCCCACTGCTTTTCAGTGTTGTGAACCTCTGTGGAGACCTCTGTGGTCTCCAGCAGTCAAGGTACAATCACAGGTTTGAGCTGCTCCTCCCACGCACTGAGTCCCACCTCAGGGAGAAGACATTGAGGGGTGGGGAGGTGTACTTCCTTCTTTTTCATTGAAATTTCTCTTCACTCTCTTCACAGGACTTTCTCAACTTTCCTGGGCCTAGGGGACTTACTTGTCTCCTTCTTGAATGCCTCATATTGATGTATTCTAATTGTTGAATGGCAACACTCAGAGAGGCTCTTTATTTGCTGCTTATCACTCCATCATCTTGTTGCCCCTAACTGCATACTTTTATAAAGCCCTTTCCCAACAAATGTATGTAGGTATTGTGCTATCAAAATTTAAATTTTGACAGATCCCAGTTTTTCTTAATCTTATTGTAAGGAATAAACAGACAAATATACAATCACATCTAAATTAAATAAGCTGAAGGGAATAAGCAAAAAAATAATGTTTTCAATTCTTAATATCCAAGAGGATTTTATTAGTTTGTTGTCTGCTACTATAATGAAAAACCTAATGCTAGGTAATTTGTATAGAAATAATGTGTAATTAATGTGTGGTTTTGGAGATTTCAGAGTATGTCACTTACAATGGCTTTCCACTTGTGAGGACCTTGTGGTGGATGGCTTCACAATTACAGGACTGCCTGAGAGATAAAAAAAAAAATCACTTAGTGGGTCAGAAAGCCAGAAATTGAGTCAGGTTTCAGGCTTGATCTTTTATCTCAAGAACTAACTCAGAGTCCCACAAGATCTACTTTAATTACTGCTAAGATTAGAGTCTCAAATGTCCTGAATGACTCAGGTTCTCATCATCATTAAATAGGGAAAGAACTTCCCAACACATGATCTCCTAGGGAACAAACAGCATTCTAGAAAATAGCAAAGATATTATTCAGCATTACTGAAGTTGGTTAATATAGTATTTTTCTATTTTTGTCACATATAAATAAATAATTATGTTTAATTTCTTCTTTGTTGGTATTTATAGTTTACTTCTTGTAGTACCACATTGCTTTTTTAGATGCATTGTGTCTAACACATACAGCATACTTCTAAGCTTACTTGGCATGTTAGGTATCTAAATAATGGGGAGGCAATTCAAGTTTACTTGGTATTATTCACTGATATGCCTGGAAATTATGAGAAAAACTTTGAGATTCCCATCAGTTATTTATATATGAGCACTGTTGAAATCTGTGGAAAAATATGTTGGAAGTTTTGAAATGAGAATAATATTTTTATAAATAATATACAATATAAAAGGATATGTGAATCAGTATGTATTTATTAACTTAAATGTATGAGAAAAATACTTTATTAGTAAGGGTAGGCAAGAGAATAGAACTAGTAAAATTTTGTGTGTGTGCCTGTGTGTGTGTGTGTGTATGTGTGTGTGTGTGTGTGTGTGTGTTGTTTATTATAAGGAATTATCTTGCATGACTGTGAAGGCTGGCATATCCTAAGATATGCCCTTGACAAATTAAAGAACCAGGTAAGCCAATGTTATAATTTCTACCTAAATACCTTTAAGCTTGAGACCTAATGTTTCTGTTTAAGTTTCAACACAGGAACACAACCCATATTACAACTCAGGTTCTGAGGCAGGAAAAATTCTTTCTTATTCAAAGGAATAAGATTTTCAGATTTTCAACTTACTTGATTATTCTTGTTAAATTGCACAAATTGCTTCTATTAGTCTGTAAATTTAAATGTTAAACTCACTTCAAAACACCCTCACTGAAATAACTAAATTAATGTTTAGTCAAATACCTGGACATTTCATATATTAGTCAAATTCATCCATAATTATCCATCATACCTACAAAAACAAGAGGGAAAAGGAAAAACTATCATTCAGTTGATAGAAAATTGGACATAAAATATATATCAATTTTATCAGACTTTATACATATATCCCTTTTCTTTAAAAAAATTTGTTTTCAGCATACAAGTGTTTATTAAACATCAGTAATTAGGGAAAATGATTTTTTTTTGAAATTATGTACTTTGTATTTCAACACTCCCCCTCCCAACCTGCTCCCCACACGTTACCAAAGTGAACAATGAATCTCTGCAATATATGAGGCAACAAAAAGCAAACTTTTTCAATTACTTAAATATCCAGAGAGAGCAACATTTTACCTTTTTACAAAAATAACTCAAGTGTTCAAAAAGTCAATAAAAAGAAAAATGCAACATTATTTTGTTTATATGAATTCATTGTATGTGAAAATATGGACAACTATTTGGAAGAAAACACACAATATGGTAAACAGTCAAGATCTCCTATTGTCTTGCTTTGAAATCTATCTCTTACATTGTTTTCTTATGATCTGTTTTGTTATGTTTAATTTTACCTTGTTTAAAATAAAAAAGGAAAAATGTAAAGTTTGGAGATTACTTAGGTATATTTTTATTTATACCTTTCCTTCTATTTACAAGTAATCTACACATTATTATTGAAATTATATTGAGTATACAAAAATACAGTTTAGATTTACTCTCAAATGTAAAAATCACATGAAAAATAATAACCTGCTAAATATTTCATGGTTTAATTGGCTCTCAAGTAGTTTCCCAAGAGGGAAAAATAAGCACTGCATGTTTAAACACTAACACATGTAAATGAAGGGGCTGGATGTTAAATCCTGAGGAAACCAAAGATGAAGCTTTTTTTCCCCTAAAATTGCAAAACAGAATGCTGGATGTGCAGGTCAGTGGTAGAGCATTGGTTTAGTGCAGTGGTAGTGAGGCTATGGCATATGTGCCCCCACGAGCTGTTAGCTTGTTCTTGAGGCAGGGCCTCATTATGTACCTCAGACTAATCTCAAAATTGTGACAATTCTCCTGCCTCAGTCTCCTGAGTGCTGGGATCACAGGCTGTGTTTCACATCTGGCTGCATTTTACCTTGTGTTGTATGAATTTATGACAACAATGCAGTTTTCACATTTTTTGTTTTTTTTCTATAAAAATGTTTAATTTTTATAATGATCCTGAGGATTCAACCCAGGGACTCGCACATGCTAGTCAAGTACTCTGCCACTGAGTTACATCTTCTCCCTCATTTCCTATACTGAAAATACAACTTTTGATGTTAGAAGTCAGCCTCAACTATCCAGTTATCAGTGATTTTATGAAGTAAAGTTGAAAACAAATGTGGAAATTGTAAAGGCAGATTTGAGATTAGTCTGAACAGTCTGCTGCTAATTACATTCTCATTGTGTAGAAGTTCTTTGATATGTTACTGTTACTTTACATTTTATTAAATAGTCATTGCTTTTGAAAATTACACAGTATGTTGCTTAGTAGTTCTCTTTGAACTTTTATATTACAGTTTTATATTAAGTGGTTTTAAATCGCAAGAGATTATAGTAGTTTCATTGTGGTTAGTCTGAATGTCTTCAGACCTTAAAATATATCTTGACTAAATGAAAAAGTTGCACACCAAAACTTACAAGAAGAGCTCATTTCATCCCTTTAAGCTTATTTTAAATTCATTGCACATTGAAGTTGATGGATACTTGGACATCTTCTCAGCCTCTCCATATTATGTGTTAAGACACTGCAGTGTAAGGAAATAAAGGTACTTTACCAAGGTGACACAATTCATTAACATTAAGCCAGAAATAAAAACAAACCTAGAAAATTCCGTGTTGGTCCTAATGATGCACTACTAAATTTACTCTATTATCCCATATAGGTAACATACAAGAGTAGGATAAATTTCAAAGTGGCAGTGTTCATTACATTCCTGGTACATAACAATAAGTTATATAAGCATTTGTGTCTGCAGTGATTCTAATTTCAGATTTCAAAGTAATTTGGACACAATGCAGAACCCTGTGGTAATTTTGTATTACTTCAAAACATGACCTGTTGCATCCTTCCATAAAGACTTCTGAATAAACAACATAGTCCTGTTATGTTATCTATGAAAATAAAAGGCATGATAAGGAAGTATTTATGTAGGCATGTGGCCAGAAGAAACTATTCATTTTCAAGCATTGGTTACTAAGAGAATACGTCTCTTTTAATCTAACCAACAGTACATCTCATCTAATCTAACCAAAATACTATTTTATATCCCATTGAGGTGTATATGTACATGTGGGTATGTATCTGTGTGTGTGTACTTAAGAATAATCAGCATTTTCTTATAATTTTTAAATTATTCAAAATTATTTAAAAATTTATTTTTAAATTTTTTCATAGAGACATTAACATTTTTAGACAAACTTTGATAAAATTACAAATCTACATAATGGAAATGGTAGGAAGATGTTTTTCTTTAATAAACTATTTTCAAATTTTCCATAAGAATCCCAAAGTAGATTGTAATGAATTTTCTTTTCATAAATTCTCCTAAGCCACTGTGGCACACTTTTACAAATTAATACATTAGAAAAGAATCTGGCAAGGGAAGGTAAGGATATCTAGAAAGAAAGGAGTTTAAACACTTCCTTTTTACTCAGTTGCCTGGATTTAAACTGCAGCCACTGCATTTTGGTATGGAAGAAGCTGAATTATATATCTGAAGCACAAGCACTAGGGATTTAAGCCTGAAAATCTAGCAGTTGGAGTGTGTTGTAGTGGCTGCTTTCCTGTGCTAAACTGATTTACTTGTTTGAGGCCTGACCTCATCATCCTGTCAGTCTGGGTTCCCACCTACACAGTTGACTGCAGCTTTTTGTTTCAGCTAGAAAGCTAGAAAGTGTATACAGGCAATGGGGGAGGGGAGTGACAGGAAGAAAGACTGGTATCTCCGTGTTTGTGCTTTTGTTAGTTCTACAGAAGAGGCAAAGAATCAAGAGATAGCAAAGGCTCCGTTTCCTTTCTGTTAGAAAAGGATTTTGTCTTTCCTCCTGAAAGGTTGTCAGAATCTGACAAGAGTTTGAAGTGAAACAGATCCTAAGGCTACGCTGGAGGTGGTTTAGTCATTCTCAAGGTTCCCTTAACATTGGAAGCTGCCTTCAGCAGGAAGGATGTGAACAGAGAGGGATTTTGGTTCAGGGAAGTTTGTAGAACCACTCTCAAGACAGAAATGGACTGAAGAAAGGCATCAGTTCTGTCCACCACAGTATATTGGCATCAGTGCCAGGACAGGGCACTGTCCATCAAGCAAGGCTTCAGAATCTGCACCAACAAAACTTGATAGAATATCTTCCAGCAAATGAAAATACTCCTAAAGCAGTGCCATAGAAGTTTTTCAAAGAAGCTTGTGAGAAACACTCACAAATTTGGGGATGATGGCTGATTACATTAAAGCGGATTCTAGAGCACGGTAGGAGTTTTACATTATATAAATGAAAGCCAAAGTCTAAGTTTACTTATTTTCTGAAGTGCTCATTTAATATTGAATAGAAATCTTTGAGTTTTTCTGCAATCAAGATCTTCAAATACTTCTCCCCCTGAATTTAATTATATAGACATATATATGTATATATTTACATAATTAATGAATAATTATAAGGTAGTAAATTTAATTCTGTAATGTAAATTTCTACATCATTAGGAATTATTTGAGATCTATCAGTTTTTCTAACAATTATTGTCTTTAAATATAGTCTGTAATTTAGATGTTCAAATCATTGTGGTTCTTTGTTCTAAGTGTAATAAACACAGAATTTCAGATATCGTGAGTTAGGTTAACTTTGCCAAAACAAATCTCTACTTGTCATATGCTTATCTATTGTTGAATGCATAGATACAATATGGAATTTTGAAATTCTGTTATTTTTATATGGAACTTTCTTGCATATTTGAGATTCAAATTGTACTACTTTCACAGATGGTTAATAATGATTAAAATACTGTGCATAATGTAAATAATATGTTACTTGCAGCAGTAACTTACTAAAGTAATAGATAGACTACAGGTATTTCTGGACATTAAAACTGGGTAAAAGGAAATGATATAATGTGTTTTGTATATTGTTTATAAATTTTTGGTTGTTTTTTACATTTATGTTTGAATGCAAGACAATTCTGTCTTCACATTGTCTAATATATCTTAATTTAGTCGTTCTTTACACCTTTTTTTCTTTTCATGATGAGAAATTTTTACATTCTCAACATGTAGGCACAAATGATGGTCTTTAGAATGCAATTAAATTTGGAAGGTACTTTAATTTTTACAATTTTAAAACTATAACAATTCAACATGAATCTGTAATCATATACTTGAAAATCTGAAAATTTTGCATAGTGTCTCTATAGAGAACTGAAAAATCGGTCTCATTATTTAAATTTCCCTTAATGTATTTTCTAAGCACTGTTTTGCTTATATAAATTTAAAGCAGAATATAAAAAGAATAAAAAACAATATACTGCTATGGCAGAATTCAATTTTGCATAAAAATACTTTTATAGGAAGTCAGTTTTGTTGAAATATAAATGTACAGTAGGTTTTGAGAAGTATTTTTAAGTGCAACTTTAGATTGAATGGGCCTGGGACATAGCTCAGCAGCACAATGTTTGCCTGGCAAGCGTGAAGTCCTGAGTTCAATTCCAGGTAAAAAATATATATATATGATTAAGTGACATAGACATCAAAGACATAAAGTGAATATATGTGAATTTTCATTGTATGTTTTGTTTACCCAAATAAATGCTTATAAGAATTGGTAATAAAGATGTATTTGTTACAACTAAGAGGATTTTCAAAGTAGTATAGAGTCTGTACTTTTAGATTCAACTGATACTTCAAATTATTTCTGGTTATTATCAACATTTAACTCCCCTATAGAAAAATGTAAATTATCTGTTCTAATGCCCTAACAAAATTCTTCAAAAATCCAAATGAATTGATTTTTCAGCATGGGAATGTTTATAATGAAGTAAGTGCTAGAAAACAATGATTGATAATATGTTAAACTTAAAGCATTATCAAGTGATATTTGTAAAAATCTATTTTAATTATATTCTTTGTTTTTCATGTTGTAAATAAATGTAGTAGATATTCTATGATGTCAGTGAAATGATAATGTTGTTTAATACAGAAGTAATTTTATAGATGTGCAAAGATATTTTAATGAAGGAAGAACTAAATCAAGGATGTAATTAATTGAAATATTATGGCTTATTACTTAATTCTAAATCTGCATGTCTTGTTCTGAGACAATTTGAGATCTTTCTGATGCAGGGCTTCTCTGATACCTTTATTCTTTGGAGGAATAAGAAGAAAGGGCTACATTAATTTTATATCAGCCTCTCATCCCCTCATTGCACCTCTGTAATTCAAAAAATAAAACAGTAATCAGTGTACAGAAGCATCACGTTAATAGGAGATGAGCTGTGAACCCCACCAAAATGAGCATCATTAAGCCATGCCACTTTCTTTATGCAGTATTGGGAATAAACTGAGAATAAGCTAAATTACAAGCATTCTATAGAACAGGTAATTACCTACAATTAATCCCCAGAAAGATATTAAATGCTATATATTAAAATAATATTAATGTATTGGTTTGACATTTACAAAATTCAAATAAATGGTTTGGGAATTCAAAATTTCAAACATAGGCCTACAGAGTTGGTTGGAGCTAATATATTTAGAAACTGCTCCATAACAAAATCAAACAGTGTCAATATGTACATATCAACATGCCTGTGATCAGAAATCTGGATTCAGTTATCAGTTCTTATCTAGTTTTCTACTAGCTCTTCATATAAAAGAGCTGTTCATAAATAAATGCATAGAAACACAGGTGACTGTCACAATGTTAATATTAAGCAATGCTATACTAAACTACATTTGCTAAAACAAATGCAGTTATTGCTACATTGTATTTGACAGTAGTGAATAAAATGTACATGACTTGTTGATGGACCTGGAACACAGTACAAAATCAAAAGTTTGAACAAAGCTGTTTAAAGGAATTGGCAGGAATGGGGCTCATACCTTCATTCTACCTGTCAGGGGTTCAGGATTTTGCATATCTTGCCAACTTGTATATCTTTGTATAGCTTCTCCATTAGACAAAACAAATTATCTCTTCAAGTGAGCCCTTCCCCATTTTCAAGAGAGGTCTGCCTAGTGAAAAAAAATTGTAATTGTTCTGGAGGTTAAAAATAAACTACAATCAAAACAAAGCCACTGTTTCATGGAATATACATACTAACAGAAAGGGAGAAAATAAAATATGCCAAAATACAGTATTAATTATAAGTAATGTAAAGAAAAAATTAAACAAGGTGCTCTTTCAGATGAGGGGATGATCTAGTGAGGTGATATTTGAACATAGATTTATATGAATTGAAAGAAATATCCAAGAAATGTAAATCAGAAATTTAAGCTAGAGCTTGCTTCTTTTGCACCACTATGGGAGAATACTTAAACTCTATACAAGATTTTATGTACAAAGTGTCACATACTCCTCCGCAGTCTACTTAATAATGTCCAAAACATCCATCAGATTAACCTGTGAACTGAAAATATGCCCTTCCTTCTTGTCCATTGTAGTGATTTCAGGATCACATGCATGTCCTGGGGCAACAGAGGTGACTTTCCAGCCATCCTGTATCCATGATGGTGTTTTGTTTTCTAGATATCTGGCTACTCAGCCAGTAGAGCATATGCCTAAAATAATAGACACATAATAGTTATTTTTTAACAGAAATATTTAGATATAGTCAAATGGGTTGCCATTTAAACATTATTTCTGTTATTTGAAAGGTAAATTTTTCATTTTTGCAATTGTAAATAAATGTGAAAGACATAAAATATGTTGTACTAATTAATATGTAAATTCAAGAGCAATATAGTAATTATATTGATCTTTTGCAAATTGGACAAGTATTTGGACACTGAAATATCTTAATTTGAAGTTTATTTCTTACATTTGTATATCTTCTTTCTGATTCTTTAACACATCTTTATTCAAATATTGCTGATGTCTTTCTTATGACTTTATAAGTGAAATAGTCTCAGTTTTGTGTGTTCATATGTATATGTACATATTTTTATGCATTTATTTCATTATTCTATTACATAAAGTAGGACAAAACTAAAGTCAAATGGAAGGCCTGGAGAGCACTGGATTCTAAAGAAACTTTAGTAACAATATGATATTTTGCAAGGTAACCCTGGGAAACATGTAGTTTCAGAAAATAACATTGTTTAAACAGATATAAGTATAAGCAAAAATTTTTCTAAACAAAAATCCAATTGCACAAGAAATAATACCAAGAATAAGCAAGTGAGATCATATCAAATTACAAAGTGTTGCACTGCAAATGAATCAATCAATGAATTGAAGAGTCCACCCAAAAAATTGTCAGTAACTTCTAAAAGGACTAACATCTAGAATATATGAAAAACAAAAACCCAAAATATTAGTTTCCCACCAAATAAATAGACCAATACAAAAAGGTCAGCTGAAATGAAAAGATACTTCACAGAAGTACAAATGACTGAAAAATGCAAGAAAAAAATGTCAAATCTCTGGCCATTAAAGAACTGTAAATTAAAGCAACATTAAGATTCTTTACCACTGTAATGAAAAACACTGTCAAGGAGAAACCAAATAATAACAAATACTGGCAAGACTGCAGAAACTATAGAACTCATCTAAAATGGGGCATTGTCAACATGTGAACTCGTATGACACTTATGAAAGTCAATTTAGAATTCCCCCAAAAAGATAAAAGAAATTCAATTTGACCCAGCAATTCCCCTTCTAAGTATCTTCTCTAAAGAGTTAAGGACATCATATTACAGTGTTGAATGCTTGCCCATGTTTGTAGCAGCACAATGTATTTTAGTTGAATCTTGGAAATGGCCTGTATGCTCATCAGTAGAGGAATGAGTACACAAAAGGTGAAACATAATGGAGTACTACTCTGCCATAGATAAGAATAAAAAATTATTTTTAGGAAAATGAATGTGGCACAAAAATCATAACATTAAATATAATAAATCAAATGATCTTGAATAGCATATGATTTCTCCTATATGACAAACACAAAATATAAAGAACAAAATAAATGGCAGACAATACATGGTATGGAGATAGACATTTTGGAAAAAGGAGGAGGAACCAAAACGTGGATTGAGGAGGGAGGGAAGAATTGAAAAAAAAAGAAATAAGATGTGTTATGTACATGTGCCAACTTCTCAAGAGGGATATAATCAATATGAACTGCAAATGTGTACTAATCAAATATTATTACAAAAAGAATATTACATACTATAATAGATATAGAGGCATATCATGCATTATAGCAAGCACTCAATAGATATGATACAAAAATCTTTATTTAGACTTTCTTAAAATGGGTGAA